TCTAGTTTTCTCGCCTTTGAAGCATTTTGGAGTGGAGTAAAAACACAATTGGTCCTACTAAATGCGCACTTAAATGGCAAAACTTGATCGCTATGAAAAGTTTCGCGTCTAGTTTCAATCAGCCAGGCAAAATCGGTAATGTTTTGAATGTGATGACGAAAGCCTGACAAATATTCCCACTAATTTTGCTGTGTTTTTATATTAGAATCCGAAGAATTTGTCGATTTCTTGTTTTATTGAACATTTTCTAGAATGATTGCATTTTGGAGAATAATCATATTTTCTAAACAAAAATCGACATTTATTCCTACCAAGTTGACCCTTTTTATTATCGGCCTCAAAACCGCAAAATTTATCTATTTAATGGGAGTAATCATTTTTCAGTTCCAAGTCCTGAATAGTTCAACTGTTTGGATAAAAAACGTTTTTTCTGACAATTGCGGCCACCAATCGCAGTTTTGGATTCACTTGTTTAACTTCACTTCAATGTTTTGTGTATTTAAACTGTCAATTATTTCCACCGAAAAGACGATTTTTCTAGTTTTAGTTTCAATACGTCGGGATTCATTCGTTCATTCGGCGCAGGACAGATTTACGTAGTTTTGCATTTTCAGGTAGATTCAAGTGAAAAGATTGCCAAATATTCCCACTAATTTCGCGCAGTTGGCCTTTCCGATGCAAAGTATCGCAGTATTTGCCTCAGAATCGGTTTATCTGGTGAAAAAAGCATTTTTTGTTACTAGTAGATCTTTTCGTTAGATTCCCAAAAATGTGTTTTGTACAATTATTGCAACTTGTGGCATGTTTATATTTTTGAACCTAAAACGGACACATATTCCTACTGCATTCATGATTGCACCATTGTTATACGAAAAACAGACTTGCAATTGTTCCCACCAAATTGGCACTTTTTTAGTCATCGGCCTCAGAACGTCAGAAAGTGAGAATTCGGTTGAAATAATTGTCCCTTTTAAGTCCCAAGCTCTGTGTAGTTGAACTGTTTGTGATGAAATTGCAAGTTCTTTTGACAATTGTGCTCACCGAATTTACAATTGTATCATTTAGGACAACAATTGCAGTTTTGTCTGCACTTTTAGCGAAAAACAGGTTTTACACGAACAGGTTAAATTGTCCAGGGTCTGAACTTTTAAGGGACAATTATTTCCACCCAAATCAACTATTCTTCTAATTTTATTTTCAAAAAGTTTACGTTCTTCTGAATTTGTATGCACTTTCCAGCAAAAAGAAGCCAAGGACCCAACTAATTTCGCTCACTTGGTATCTTTGATCTAAAACGACAGTAAAGTATTACTGTTATACAAAAAAAAACGACAATTTTATGCAAACTGTTGAACATTGCAAGCAAGTTTGAACTGAAAACTGTCAACTATTCTTACCAAATTGGCATAGCTTTAATTATTGGCCTCACTTTTAAGTTCCAAGCTTTGTTTCATCTGTTTGTGTTAAAAGTGCGAGGTTTTTTTCCCAAAAATTAAAATTAACAATTGTACCCACCAATTTCAGCTTTACGTCACTTAGGACACCAATCGCAGGTTTGTCTTCGGTTTTTCAGCGGAAAGAGAACAGCAGTTTTTAAACAAATAGATAAAATCAAGGATTTGACGCAAATCTTTTGAAGTGACAATTGTTTCCACCAAACGGATGTTTTTTAAAAATTTTCCATTAAAACTTGAAAACTCATTTTGGTGGAAATACTTAGCACTTTTAGCTTCCAGATATTCTCTCACTTCTTGATGGAAACCTTGCAAGTTTCTTTGAGCGAAAATGAAGCTAACACAAAAAATATTCCCCCGAAATTCACCATTGCAGCATTTTTGGGAGAAAAAACGAGCAATTTTTACACAAACAGATGAAACATCATCAAGCATTTGAAGCTTTGAAGTGACGATTAACTCCACCAGATGGTTTTTTGAATTTCCGCTTCAAAACCTGAGAATTGATCAATTTGGTGGAAAGAAATGTCACTTCCAAGTTCCAAATTTTTGATATTTAAGCGCACAAATATTCCCACTAAATTGACACTATGTTGGCCTTTGGACCCCAACTTGAAAGTGGACAAATTATTTTAAAGAAAAACTGTTTTATCATCAGATTTAGCCGGCAAATGTTCCTACTTAAATTCTTAATAGAATCCGCTTTTGCTGTAAAAATGACTTTTAAGTAGGATGGAAATTTATATTAAAGGCTAAAAGAACTAACAATTATTCCCACTTTTTTGCCAAAAATTGCCGGAAATCTGGCACAAGTTAACTTCACAGCTAAAACACATTACAAATATCAACGATAAAACTGAGATGGTTTGCGCCGGAAACACTGAAGCAAGAGGACAATTATTCCCACTAATTTTCCCCATTTACTACTCTTGGCTTAAATCAAAAATCAAAATATAGTTGTGGTTTGGCCTTGGTAAAATTGCAATTTTTAGAAAAAGCCCATTGACTAATGATTTCTAGTGCAAAATTGACAACTATTCCCACTAAAATTGCACTTTGTATGCAAAAGCTGAGATAATTTCGACTAGAACCGACTCATTTGACATTCACTATCGAAAATCGTTTTGCGTTTAGTGTTAAAGACTACAACCACAATTACGCCCACTAAATTGATTCAACTTGCAAATTGAGCAATTCTTTGTCGTGTTTATGTGACAAGCTGGGACTTGAATTAATGTGAGTAGATAGATATTTTGAGTAAGTGTGCTAATGTCAGGCACCCCTGGAACAGAACAGTTATTTTCACGTAATAGGTTAAGGACGGCTGCGAAGGGATACTTTTCATATCTGATCATCAATCGAAATGTTGACTTTGCCAAGATAAAAATATCATTACTTACGTGGTAAATAAAATCGCGTAGGTATTCTGACATCTAAAACACGAACGTTTTATAAGCTTTATATAAATAACCTTTTATAAAATGTATCCTATGAACTTCCCAGTCACTAAAGCTTTCCGATCTGGATCTGCTAGGGAAAAGCGTCACCTTTTCCATTCGGTTCAGTCTTTGATGTGGAAAGGAACAGAAGAGAGATAGAGCTAATGTGGGATAATGAAGCTGTTCGTTTAAGGATTTACGGAATATTTAATAACAATCCAGCCCACATTCGCTTCATCAGCGTATTTTGCTCGTTGGATAATCGCGGGGGATCAGAAAAGTTTTTGCTGACTGAGTTTTTGGATACATTTTACAACGTTGGCTTATTTACAGTTGTGGAGCGTTCGTGGCATGCAACGATGCCTAAATACCTAAGCGACTTTTCAGGTGAGTACCATTAGAATTTTTCACTTAAAAAAACTGGAGATGGTTTCTGAGCATCAGCCATTCTTCAGCTATGGACAAACATTTTGCCCATCTCTAGTCAGGTAATTTGATCGATAAGTTGCCAATATTGAACAGTCGTCAGGCTGCCATAACAAAAATATTATTATTACCGGAACGTTTTCCCATGAAGCCGAAGGTTCGGGCCGAGTTTATGAAACAATCACGAATCGCTTTTGTTTTATAATCGATAACAATAAATGCCACTTTGATGTGGCGGTCGTGCAGGCGAATTGGTTTGTTAAATAATTGCTGGATTATTTCGCACCAAACCAGCTAATCGATTTAGAATGACATTGACAAGTGACGTGACTTGGTCGTTGTTTCAAACAAATGTCACTTAAAAACCAGTGACGACCAAGTGAACAACGTCAATGTCACAGTTTCAAAGATGGCTTGCCGTTCGGCGATTGCTGGCAACGTTGCCTTTTCGAATCTTCTTCGTTTTTCCGGCCCATGAGAGAGAAAGCTCTCGATGGAAAATGAAAACGGCCATCCGCCAATCAATACTCAAGGGTACGTGGCCTGCGAGACGGATCTGACGTCAGCAGGAGTCTGCGCGCCCTACAACCGCGCAACTCCGGAATATGAATGAACTCGTTCAACCCCCAGACCTGGAATGGGTTGTTAAGTAATGTCTGTCGAAACAGGGGGGTCGGGCAAGAGGGTGGATTCAAATATTTCAAAAAGGAAGCAGTTTTTGTTGCTCATACGGTTCGAAGGACCAAATTTTTGCTAATCATACTGGCGCAAAATTTGGTCGATTTTCATGTCTTTTGGCTTTAATTTTATCAAGGTTGATTTGCAGGAATGAACGTTGAATGCGTTTGATATCAGAGACAGTTGCCAAGATGGTCCACGTGTTGCGATTCGCAGAAAATGTTGCCTGTTTTTTTGTAATTTATTAGCGCATATTTCATGTCTCGCCAAATTAACATTTAGCTAGTTGGAGGCAAAGTGACAAAAAACAACTTAGATTGCAATTAAAGCGTGCCATGACTAAGAGCATGACTAAGATATGAAATGGCCCAAGTTTTAGTGCAGGGAGTTTCGGTGTTTTTAGAGCGTCTGATAGGAATTTGGCCCAGACGTTTCGCTAGCACCGTGGCTCTTCAACAGAGTTGTCAAATTATTCTGATTTTGCCAGATGTCCTTTGTTTTTCACGTTTAGGCCGAAATTCCTAACCTTCAAAGAATGAGGAGCACAAATATGAGAATGAACAAGTTTGGCGAATATTCAACAGATTATACCTCGAAAACGGTTGAAAATATGTGACAAGTTGATAGAACGTTTTTGAAAAAGTGTTTCACAAGCTTTCTTTTGCTTATAAAGTTTGGTCCGAAGTTCCTAACCTTCAAAGAGTGAGTAGCACAAATATGCGACTAAACAAGTCTGTCAAAGGTTCAACGCTCATATTTCGAAGAGGGTTGAAAGCGTGCATGTGCCAAGTTAGACATTATTTCCTTGAAATATTCACGCACTGCTAAGAGCATGACTAAGTTATCAAATGGGAAATGTTGGAGCATCGGTGATTTTCGGGGAGTTTTATAAAACCCACGGGAAATCACCATCAGGATTGTTCATCATAAAAATAATTGCACTAAGAGCATGACAATGATACATTGAAAATGAATGATTGAATGTGATTTTTCTGTGTTTCAGGGTTGGACCTTGCGAGCTGCAGGAGCCGGTGTGGGCAAAAATGAATGCTCTCACCGGAATCAAGCAGAAAAGGAAAAAGTCGGAGAACAAGCCGCAAACGCAAATGTGAGTACCATCATTTTACCTCCGCTGTTGGCCAATTTATTCGAAATTACCGGGGAAAAAACGGGGCGCCGACTTAATAAAAGCGCCCTTTTTGTGTCTCAAGTTTCTGCTGCGACAAGGAGGCCAGTTATGCCCAGTTAGCTTTTGATCTTTGCAGTGTTTTGTGTAAAACAATTCGACTACAAAGAACTTTCTGTCGATTCCTCAACACCAATCGAGCTGTAAAGACATGACGAAATGTTACAACATTATTATATCGTTGTCATGCGATCGGTTGATCAAACTTTGTTAATGTTATTGAAATTGGTAGCAAAATGACGTCACCTGGTTGAGGTGTGTGTGTGTGTGTGTGTCTGTGTGTGTGATGAAAGTGAAAATATCAAACTAGAACACCGCTGAATGTCGCTGTTTGCGCGAACATAAAATTCGTTACAAGGCTTTTTAAATACTGCACTCATTCAAGGTGCCCGAATTCGAGGAAAACCGGGGAAAATTGTATTCTATTTTAGGTTTTTCAAGCAACTTCCCGCTTGCAGAGCATGATGGATTGTCTCGAAGTGAGTTCAACGACATATTCCAAGCATTTCTTCAACGCTTTCCTTAATTTATTCTATTCAAGTTTTTGTACAATTATCTTCTTTAACCGTTTGTGTTTTGTCCTCATCGTTTCTCTTCAAGTTTCTTATTGATCTCTGCAATATTTTCTGTAGGTTTTGTACTGTTTTGATTGGGTTTATTTTCAAAGTTCTTCACATTGTAATTATTGTTTGATTCACTCTTTATATTTAGAGTGTTCTTTTTTGTATTTTTCTGTATTTAGTGGGTTTTTCGATTGTCACTTTTAATTACATCTACATCCTACCGTATTTCACTGATTTTTTAAACGTTGTTTTTTATTTTGTCCATTTTCCACTGTCTTTAAGCCCTCCTGTTCATTGTAGTTTTTCCGTTCTTCCATCATTGTGTTTCTATGATCTTCCTGTTGTTGTTTTTATTTGCTCAAACTTCTAATGTGTTTTGACGATTGTTTTAGTGTCGTTTTTTCCTGGTTTTTAGATTGTTTCTTTTCATTTCATCCATTGTCCATGATGTTTTTTATTTTGCCTATTTTCTAATGTCTTTAGCTGGTCCTTTCATTGTCTCTTTTTTATTGCGTATGTTTTGTACTGCTTTTAGTCGATCTTTATTGTCGTTTTTCAGTTTTCTCAGCTTCGACTGCGCTTTGATGATCTGATTCTTGCTTTTCATTTCGTCCATCTTTTACGGTCTTTTTATCATTTTGGTTGTCGTCAACTGAGTTTTTATCATATGGGTTTTGTCGTTTTCAAATTTCTTAACTTTTTACGAGCTTTTTTTATCGTTTTTCATTTGGTTTGTTATTTCTTTCATTTTCTACTTCGTTTAGATGACTTTTTAATGGCGTTTTTCAGTACGTCAAGCGTCAACTGTATTTAGATCGTCGCTTTTCATTTCGTTTACTTTCTGATATCGATGTTGGTTTTTTTATTGTCGTTTTTCACTTTGAACTTTTAATTATTTTCTAATTTCGTCCAGTTTCCACGGTCTTTACGAGCTAAAACGTACTACATCTAATATGTTCTTTTTAATTTTATCCATCATTAACTGCGGTTCAATGACCTTTAGATTGCTGTTGTTCATCTCGTCTATTTTCTACTATGTTTCCATAACCATTTGGTTGTCGGTAGTTCTCCTCTTTCTACTGAATTTTGATAATCTTTCTATTGTCGTTTTTAATTAAGTTCACTTTTTTCAGTTTTTTTTTACTTCGTTTTTCTTCAACTGTATTTAACTTTTTTTAATTTCGTTCATCAACTATATATATTTCGATTGTCTTTTCATTGTCGCTTTTCCTTGCGTCCATTTCCTGTTGGTTTTAGCTGCTATTTTCTTGATGTTTTTCACTTTGTTCAACATCAGCTGGGTCCCTTTTCATTTCATTTATCTTCTACTGTCTGTCTTCTTGTCAGAAAAACTATCCCAACTTTTGTATTTTGTTATTTTATATTTTATTCATCACTGACTGCGTCACAATTATTTCTTCATTGTTATTTTTGATTTCGTCTGTATTTATACAGATCTATTAATTATTGCTTTTCAGTTGGTTCAGCTTCTACTGTCGACGTTTTTTGTCCTCTTTTTTGGTCGTCTATTATCAACTGCAATTCAGTGGACTTTTGATTGTTTCCCGTATTTTTATTTTCTGCTGTCTTTATACGATATTTTCTTTATAGTTTCTCATTTCGGCTTGCGATCTTGCCATTATTGTTTTTCGTTTGTTCCACTTTCTACTGTATGTTGTCTTTTTTTTAGTTGTATTTTTCACTCAGTTTATCAAGTTTTTTTATTTTGTTTACTTTCATAATATCGTTGATTTTCTATTCGTGGGTTCTCCAATGTCGCTTTTCATCGCGTCCATTTTCTACTGTTTTAGTTGAGATTTGTATTTGGGTTTTCATGATTTTATTTTTCATTTTGTTAATTTTTTTGTTTTCATTTCGTGCACCTTCTACTGTTTTCTTCTGAGGGGTAAAATTCTGTTGTCTGACCCTGTTATTTTTTAATTCTTTTATTTCCTTCTGTCTTTATCCATGTTTTCTTAATCATGAGTGTGTTTTTCATTTATTCCACTTTCTACTGTAATTAGATGATCTTTTTAGTATCATTTTCACTCTGTTCTTTATCAACTTTGTTCAGGATATTTTCAATGTGGTTTTCAATTTCGTCCACGATCAGGTGTTTTGGGTTGATATTTTGATTCACTTTTTCCATTTAGTTCATTTTTTCTGTCTTTAGCTGATCTTTCTTTCCACTGTCGCTTTCATCACCAGCGGTTGTATTTTCATGATAATTTAATTGAAATGTTTTAATTTCGTCCATTTTCTGTCGTCTTTAGTTGGCCTTTTTATTGCATTAATTTTCTACAGGTTTTAGCTGATTTTTTCATTGCAGTTTTTCACTTTGCTCATCAATGACGGTGTTTCGATTATCTTTTAATTGTTGCTTTTTATTTGGTCAGTTTTCTACTGGATTTTGATGGTTTTTCCATTTCAACTGTGTTTTGAAGATGTTGTCAATGTCGTTGTTAATTTTATCTCTTTATTCTCACTTTTCATTTGGTGCATTTTATACAGTCTTATACTTGCTAGTTTGTAAAATTTTATCGTGCTTGTACAATTTGTTGATTTTCATCTATTGACTTTTATTGAGATCATAATTTATTATCTAGGCGATCCTTTTCATTTTTTAATAAATTTCGTTGATACTTCGATTGCTGCTTATAATTTCGTCGATTTTCTACTGCGTTTAGATTGTTTTTTCTTTGTTGTTCTTCTTCCTTATATGTGTTCTAATGAATTTTCACATTTTCGAGTTTTTAGATGTTCCACTGTTGCATTTGATTTTTTATTGTTTTTCATGTGATATTCCAATTTTGTAGTACTCGCTGCATCGTGCTTGTTGTATTGGCGTTCCACAATTTGTTCATTAGCATTTTTTGTCCTTCACTTCGTCAATTTATCATTGTTTGCTTGTCTACCTTCATTGGAGCCATAATTTCATTCAGCCTTTGCTTGAAACAATCAGTTCTTTATGTGGTTTCGTTATTTATTTACGGTCGCTGATTTTTTCATAGCTGTTCTTTATTTAGATCTTGATTTGCTGTCTTTGGGTGGTCGTTTTCATGTTGGTTTTTATTTCCTTTATGGTCCGCTCTTTTACCGTGTTATTTTCCCCAATTGAACTGCGTTTTTATAATATTTTTTATTGATGAATGAATCAAAAAGTGCCATTTTGCGAACAGAAGCGATGATCAAAAAGAAGCACTTTTCTTTAGCGTTCATTTGTTTTACTTTTACGCACGGA